CTTAATGACTGGTTTTGAGGGAAACAGTGAAGCTGGAAATTCATTAAACCTCGCTGTAATGGCAGTCGTCAGTCAACATTTGCGGGTAACAGTGCAATGTTACCCTCTGACATCATAGATTTTTGCAGTGCTGCCCGCTCAGAGATTTTGATGGGAAACAGTTTCATTGCTAGATGTCATGAGACCTTGAAGTAACCAATGAGAGCGCGTGCTGTTGGGGAGAAATTTCCAGCTAGCTAATAACAATCACTTATTTACTTACATTATTTTAATTGCTGCAAGATGTTCTAGGAAAGAGAACAATAAAGCCCCAAAAGATGATTGTATCAAATTACTGAATAACGGCCAATATAATAAAAACATACCATAAGTGAAAACAAACAGCCACAGAAACCACAAGTGGCACGTCGAAACAGCGTGCGTAAACATATCGCCATTAGAGTCTAAATTCCAAAACAGTCAAGAACAATTCAAACTTCCTTGTTCCAGCTGGTCACTTTCACGTTGGACCCTCCACCGATTTTGTTGAAAACCTAGGATACATACATAGAAAAAATTCCCATGAATTATTATTCCATTGAAATAAATTTCACGGAAGTGATAGATTTAGAACAGAACTTTGCCGCAGGTTTATCAAATTTTCGAAGTAGATCGAAAGATTATATAAGCCCTACTTTATCCTCGTGTTATATTCGACATGTTCTGTAATGCTCACTCGATCAGTTTTGTTGTCTCTGTATCAAAGCTTTGCTCCTATCTCATGGAACAGTCTTATGTAAAACTTAGAACTGAGGTCTCTTCTAACGGCCTTCTAACTCCTAGATGCAACTAGAAACGTTCAAGCAATATATCTGTTTTAGTGTTTACTGTGCAACAAACAACTTGAGTTAATTATAAAGTTGTCTAATGCAGGATGCACGAGAATTCTCGGACTCATATAGAAACCTGTTAACACTGCTAAAATTCTAGAGCTTCGCTTTAAATATCGTTGAAAAGTCAAAGACTAAACCGTGAATTTAAATCAAATATTCCATCGTTTCACACTCACCGTGTTAAAACAAACGACCAGATTGAATGGACGGCCATCCATACCAAAGGGAACAGTGACAAACATTGACGATTTTTAAAGTTTAAATTCAAAATTTTCCCTTTCTAATATCGTAGAACAGCTGGTTTCAAAGTTTTTAAACGAAGATATTTCACGGTTAATCAATTTGTATGCAAAGCTATCCAGTTTCTATGCCAGCGCAAGGCTCATCTTTATTTATGACTTGCAAAGAACCAATCAAAAGCCGGCATGACGGCCCCGCTTCCGTTTGTATCGTAACGCGGTTTTTAGACAGAATCCATCAGGAAATTCAGGGGACAACCCCCCCCCCCCCCACCGGGTGGACAACAACCTTGTATCAGAATAATTTAAAGAATATTGCATTCCTTTTTACATTTTTCTAGGGCTAAAGATGTAAGTAGTCATCTGTAATAACACCAAAGAAAATTTCTTATGGGAGCCCGAGAAAATGATAGTCAAATTTAACAAAATTACATCTTGCACATGAAATTTTCAGAATTTTACCTGTGTTTTCACAATTCCTGTGAAATTTGACATTTATTTTCTCGGACTCCCCCGAGAAATTTTCTTTGGTGTTATTACAGATACTTAGTTACCTCTTTAGGCCTTGAAAAATGTAAAAAAGAATGCAATAATCTTTAAATTATTCTGATACAAGGTTTTTGTCCACTGAGAATTAAAATTACTCAATTTCCTGATGGATTCTGTGTTAAAGGCTTTGCTTACGATTTGAAAGTTTTGTTTTTTAACGAGAGGGGAAAACCGGAGTGCCAGGAGAAAAACCTCTCGGAGCAAGGGAGCGAAGCAACGACAAACTAACCCACATATTAGCATGCGTAACCACAGGCAGCCCAAGCTCAATATGAGAGTACTGCGGCTGCCTAATTTTCAAAATGGATTGTTTGGGAATTCAGGTAATAAATACTCGCATGAATTTTAAGAAAATACGCTTTACCTTGTTCACTTGTGTCTTCTTGCTTCCTTGGTGGTTATTATCCCGATC